AGCCAGCCCGGCCGAGGCGGGTTGCGCGGTGGCTGGGCGACCGAGTCGCAGGCCCCTCCCTCCGCCGCGCGCCTCTCCGCCCCCGGCCGCGCCAGCGCCGCGCAGGTGGAGCCGAAGCCTCAGCGGCCACCTCCGGACCCGCGGGACGCCACCCGGGAGGGATCAGGCGAGCTCGGGAGGAAGCCAGTCGCCCAGGAGGGGTCAGCCAAGCTCGAGAGGAGGCCCGCACGGTGGCCAGGTGTCCAACCCGGGACAAGGCGGGCTCGGGGGCCTGAGCGCGGGATGGCACGCCCCTTTATTGGGTGAAAGGGTGAATCTGACCAGTGCGGGGACCCTGGGGAGCGCGTCTCGGGGTGGAGGGTCAGCACCCCACGAGGCAAAGCTGGAGGGTCGGGCTGGGAGGCTCTCCATCTCTGTGTCCACCTTTCTAGTCACAGGTGAGGTTTGGTTACAGACACCTGGGCGGGAGCACAGGCTGGGAGCGACCCTTCCCTTCCCAGAGCCTCCCCTGCCACCAGGGCTTAGGCCTTTTCCTTCCCCTCTTCCTCTCCTCCCCTTCCTACTTCCCCCTTTCCTTCAGCACTGCTTCTTTCCCTCCCTCCCTTCTTCCCCCCTCCCCGTCCTCCCACCTTCCCTCTGCCTCCCCTCCCTGCCTTCCTTCCTCCCTCCCTCCCTCCTTCCTTAGCCTCTATTTGCACACCACAGCATCTATCAAGGGCCTGGCATATACCAGGTCCTGAGAAAGCTTGGCTCCTAACCCTACCCCGGTGAGGCCTGAGTCCCCTCTAGGGACCTCCAGAGACCCGGAAATAACCTTGGCACACACCAGTTCTGCAAGGAGCCTCCAAACAAGAAAGTGTGTGATATTTAAGTGACCCAGTCAGTGGTAGCTATGTATGTACATTGTGTGTGTGTGTGTGTGTGTGTGTGTGTGTGTGTGTGTGTGTATGGGTGTGTGTGAGAGAGACAGTATATCTGTCTGTGTATCTGTGTGTGCATGTGTGTATGTATGTAGTTGTATAATCATGTAGGTGTGAGTGTGTGTGTGTATCTGAGTGTGTGAGTGTATGTATGTGTGCAAGTTGCGTGATCGTGTAGGTGTGTGTGTACATATGAATGTGCATGTGTGTGCTTGAGTGTGTGTAAGCTTCCCTAATGTGTGCAAGGCCCTGGGTTTGGTCTTCAGTGTTTTAAAAAACAAAACAAAACAAAAATGAGCCAGCTGCGGGTCTGACCCTTGCCATCTTCATCCAGGAGCCAGGCTGATGGGATAACCCCAAACCTGAATACTGTCTGGCTCAGGCAGAGGTGAGAGAGCTGGGGCGGAGAGCCCACCCCTACAGTGTCACTGGGCCAGGCAAGCCCATTTTTTAAATTGTGTGTATACATGTGTGACTGAGTATGGGTTTGAGCCAGTGAGTGTGGTAGCACCTGTAGAGGCCAGAAGAAGATGTCAGATCTGGAGCTAGAGTTACAGGCAGTTGTGAGCTGCCTGGTGTGGATGCTGGCAGCTGAACTCTGGTCCTCTGTGAGAGCAGCCAGCACGCTTGGCCCTGAACCATCTCTCCAGCACCCCACCCTTGGTAGACTTTTTACTTCACTTTTCTGTTTTATTTGTATTAATGATTATGTTGCAAATAAACTGGGATGTACATTATTATACTCTCCCAGATTTTGAATATTGGTTCAGAATGAATTGGTCTTAGCATTCTGACATAATCGTTATTGCTCTTTTCAGACCTAGTGTTACAGGGAGCAGAGACAGGAGGACCACGGGCTTTTTAGCTGCCAGCCTGGTTCCAGGTTTGGAGAGCGAGCCTGTCTCAAGACAATAAGGCAAAGGGTGATAGAGGAGGACACCGATATCCTCCTCTGGGCACATGCACCTGCACACACACACACACACACACACACACACACACACACCTGTGCACTCACAACACATATATATCACACTGTCACTCATGCACATGTACACAGGAAGGAGGGAGGGAGAGAGGGAGAGAGGGAGGGAGGGAAGGGATGGGAAGGTGGGAGGAAGGGGGCAGGAAGGAGGGACAAAGGAACCAGGGAAAAGAGAGACTCGCTCGCTTGCCTCCTGGTCACAGCCCCTCTGCTGCCCACGTTCTATTCTTTAATGCATGTACACACATTATAATCATTTTGTGTAATTTAAAGTTTTATCTAAACATTATATTAACTGTCCTATATTGCAAATTGCTTTTTTTCGCTCTCCTAAGCGGTGTTTCTTCGAACATCACACATCTTCATTGACCTTGAGTGTGGGAACAGTCATCGATGGTGTACTGTGCTTGCACTAAGAACCTTCTCCCCGGAGCTGGTCCTGTGTTTCTTTCCCAGCTCAGTGTCAGTGACATCATGGGGGTGGCAAGGATCAGCCACAGTGGCGAATTTATATCCCAGAAATTGGTTAAAGCTACAGACAAGCTCTTCCTTCTAGAGGCTGGTGGTTATTTGCCAAGACCACCATGGTGACCATGCCTCCAGGCCCGCTACCACTGACTTCGAGGCAAGTTTAATTTGTCTCTAAATGCTCATGACTTCAAACAGCACTGCAGTGCTAGCTGCCATGAGTCCCCGACCCAAAGGTAAAGGTTTCTGGGAGTGTGGAGGGGGGAGGGAGTGATGCTGATGTCTTACTTAGCAGGTCCTGTGAATATATTCGACTCCAGCTTGTTACAGAGTCAGAAACAATTTGCACTCCTGCCCCAGGGCATTTGCACTCCTGCCCCAGGGCAGAGCTCCAGTGAGGTTGAGGAGCTGAGGTGGGACTGTTTAATTCCTGTTTCCTGATTGCATCCAGCTGGAATCTTTCCATCCTTCATTTGAACATCCCCTTCCGTGAATTAATCACTCTTTCCTTCTGCCTGCCTCCACCGGTTTTCCGGCTTTCCTCTAACCTGTTTCCTGGAGTTCATTCTGCAATGGTGCCAGCCACTTCCAGTCTTTTTCTGGGCTGCAAACATCCTTTCAATTTGTCACTTTTCAGTGTTTGCAGGACAATGAGAAGTCGCTCATTGTCATGTAGTGAAAGTTAGTGGTGCTGTCACTTAATCGCCTCACCCTGTGTCCTGTTGGGTCAGCACCTCCCCGACCTCCTCACCCTGTGAGTTGTGAAGGTCCACAGTACTTTGCATATTTTCAGGTGAAGATGTGCGTTGGAGGCTTGGAGCATCTGGAGCTCACCATTCTGCAGGTGAGGAGGGATCTCACTGTAGACTCGCCCACCATGGAGACCCTGATGTCTACAACACCCACTGAACAGCACATTCCCTTCTCCGATCATCTATGATGTCACTTGTCTACACCAGTGTACGTGTGGCTCTATTTCTGGACTCTTTCTCATTCACCTTTTTCTGACTCATCCCACCCTGCTTAGGTAGTAAAGCTTCCTAGTAGTTAATGTCTGGTAGACCAGAAAGTCCATCCTGGCTTCTCTTCAGAACTGTCTGGGCTATTCCTGGGCTTTTGCTCTACACAGATTTCTAACCTTTCAGATCCCGATAAAAGGACTGTTGAGGGGCTGGAGAGAGGACTCAGCAGTTAAGAGCACTGACTACTCTTGCAGAGGACCCGGGTTTGATTCCCAGCACCCACACGGTGGCTACAAATGGTCCTTAACTCTAGTTCCAGGAGAATCCGAAGCCCTCTTCTGACCTCTGAGGCATTGCATGACACAGGTGAACTCACATACATGTAGGCAATACACTCATGCACATAAAATAAAAATAATTTTTTTTAAAAAAAGTACTGTTGAAGGGCTGGACAGATGGCTTAGCAATTAAGAGCACATACCACTCTTCCTGAAGAAAAGTTCAGTTCCCAGCACCCACATTAGGCAGTTCATAACCTCCTGTAACTCCAGTTCCATGAGATTTACACCTCTGGCCTCTGCTGGCACCTGCACTCACATGCACATACACACAGACATTCACATAGTTAAAAATAAATCTTAAGATAATAATAAAAATAAAAATGTGGCTGAGATTATCACCAGAATCACTATGAATTTATAACTAACCAAGGGGAAATGACCACCTCACATGTAAAGATGAGGGTGCTGTGGTTCGACTGTGAACAGCTCCTCAGGTGCCCAGCTGATGACCCTGCTTTGGAAGGTCGTCGAGCCTTTAGAAGGTGGAGCCTCACTGGAGGAAGTGGGTCACTGGGGGTGGGCTTGAGGTTTGACAGCCCAGCCCCCTTCCTGTCTGCTCTCTGCTTCCTGACTGCAGATGCCATGTGACAGCCACCTTACACTCCTGTCACTGTGCCTTCTCCATAATGATGGACTGAACCCTTGGACTATGAGCCCTGCCTTCTTCAACTTGCTTCTTGTTAGGTATTTGCTCACAGCAATGAGAAAAGTATCTAATAACACAATGGTCTGTGCATAGAGTTATCCAAATCTTCACATCCTTCCATTAAATTTATCATTTTCTGGGCTGGAGAGACGGCTCAGCAGTTAGGAGCACTGGCTGCTCTTGCAGAAGATCTGGGTTCAGTTCCTAGCACCCACATGGCAGTTAACAACCATCCATAACTCCAGTTCCAGGAGATCTAACGCCCCCTTCTGACCTCCATGAGCATTGCACGATACAGGTGCACTTACACACATCAAACAATATACTCATACATACACATAAAATAAAAATAAATATTTTTTATTTTATCATCATTTTCTTCATAACAATAGCAAGCATTTAGCTGAGTTTATCATGTGCCACCTACAGTTTCAAACACTCCGTATTCTGACTAATCTTCCCAACTCTCTTGTGAGGTAGATGATATTAGAACCTTCCTTTACAGATGAGGAAACTGGGACACAAAGTGGTCAAGTAATCTATACAAGCCGAGGAGCAGTAGGGCTATGACCTGAAGCTAGGCAGCCTGGCTTGGGAGGCCCTGCTCTGGCCTGCTGACCAGCTTTCCTCCAGCACCCACAGAAGGCTCAGACATGGTGTTGGAGTTTGTTCGAAGTCTCCATGGCTTGCTGCCACCGTAAGGGGGTTTGCCCCCCCCCCCTCTTCCTAGTTGGCACATCTGCCCACTGGAAATGCTACTGATTTCACCAGGCTGTACTGTGTCTAACAGTTGTATTGACTTGTCATGTATTTGTAATGATTTGAAAACAGATTCTCTATGGTTTCTTTTTCCACTTCCTTTCTTTTTTTGTTTCTTTTTGTTTTGTTTTAGGCAGAGTCTCTTGTAGTCCAGGCTGGCCTCAAACTCCCTATGTAGCCCAAGCTGGCCTTGAACTCCAGATCCTCCTGCCTCCCCCTCCCAAGTGCTAGCACCACAACCGCACATCACCACTCCATTTCTCCTGGGTTTTCTATACAATCATCCGAAACCAAAGACTCTATCTCTTCATTTATTCAGGGCTTTTTTTCATTTCAGTCGGGGATTATTTTGACTTTTCCTTGCTCAAAAGTTAGCCTTCTAGTTCAGTTAGCCATCTGGTTCAGTTAGTTTCAAGACAAGGCAGTACTGAGCAGTGGAGGTGACAGAGGGGCACCTTTGACTGTCTAGGTGTGGCAGTGGCTTTTACAATATGGGCGTACTCTAGACTAATGACTTTTACCTAACCTTGCAATAAAACATTACTCTTTTTAATGTATACAACATCAGTGAACCGTGTGCTTGTCTTGTGATCCAGTCATATGGCCTTAATCCCTTAGGACCCTTCCTGGGCCTCCACCCAGATAGTGTGTATGCACATCTTACTTCTCAAAGCCTCGGTCTGTCTCAAACAATGAGAGAAATTGAGAACTGTCTGTAACTGTGTGTGTGTGTGTGTGTGTGTGTGTGTGTGTGTGTGTGTGTGATATTCTAGGTCTAGGGATCAAAGGGGGAAATTCTCTGATGAGATAAGTGTGGGTCTGACTTTTACTTCCCCACTTCCTTCTATTTGCTCAAGTGTCAGATCAGACAATTTGCTGCCTTATTAACTGGATTATGTTTTATTATTATTGAGTTTTTGAAGTTGTTTCTGTAGCTTAATACAACCCGCTTATCAGATGTATGCTTTGCAAAGATTTTTTCCCAATCTAGGGCTTGTCTTTCATTTACTTAATATTGTTCCTAAAGTTTTAAATACTGTTTTCATTTTAGGAAGCCCAAGTTACCAGGATTTTTTTTCCTTCATGGATCCTGTTTGAAGTGTCAAATCTAAGAAATCCTTGGCTAATTCAGGTCACAAAGGTTTGTATACAGCTTTCTTCTGCAACAGAAGTTGGGTAACTGTGGGCTGGGGACCAACTGCCTATTTTGAACCACAGAGGATTGGAGGAACGCAGCTGGCCTGTCCATTTATGCATTTCTTACAGCCTCTTTCACAGGCTGTGACAGGCTTGTGAAGATGCAGCCGTAAGATCACAATCCTAAAATACTCTGTGCTCCTTTAAGAAACAGGTCCTTCAACTTCTCTTCTGGAAGTTGCATAGATTTTTCGATTTGCAGTTAAGATCTATGATTCATTTAGATTTAATTTTTGTATATGGTGCACAAAATGAGCCAAAGCTCTCTTATAGGTTTCAGGTGAGGTTGCCTGAGATATGTGTGTGTGTGTGTGTGTGTGTGGTGTGTATGTATGTTTGTTCATGATATATGTGTGTGCTTGATATGTATGTGTGTTATATGCGTGTATGTGGTATGTACGTGTGATGTATATATATGTGTGTGTGTAAAGTATGTGTATATATAAGGTGTTTGTGTGTGTATGTGCGTGATTTATGTGTGTATTGTATGTATGTGCATGTGTGTGTGTATGTGTGGTATGTGTGTGTGTGGAGGTATGTCTGTGTGGTGTGTGTGTATGTGTGGGTGGTATGGGAGTGTGTATGTGTATGTGTGTGGGGTTTGTGTGTGCAGGTAAGCTTGCCTGTGCACATCCAGAAGTCAATGTTAAGGATGTTCCTCTATCACTTCCCACCTTATTTTTTTTCGAACTCCTCATTTTTTTATTATTTTTGTGTTATGAATGTATTGCCTACATGCATGTAAGTGCACCGGTGTGTGTAGTGCCTGCAGAGGTCAGAAGAGGGCATCAGATACCCAGGAACTGGAGTTACAGATGGCTGTTAGCCACCATGTGGGTGCTGGGAATAGAATCCAGGTCCTCTGCAAGAGCAGTCAATGATCTTCACCACTGAGCCATCTCTCCAGCCCCTTCATGTTTATAGTTTTAATTAGCTTACACATAGTTTTAATTAGTTTCCATAGGACAACTTTTTTTTTTTTTTTTGGTCTTTTTGGGATAAGGTCTCCCTGTAGGCCCAGCTGGCCTGGAACTTGCTCTGTAGACCAGGCTGGCCTTGAACTCACAGAGATCCACCTGCCTCTGCCTCCCAAGTGCCAGGGTTAATGGCACGAACCACCACACTCAGCTCTAAGATTTATTTTTATGTGTGTTTTTGTGTGTGTGCAGTTTCCTGGAGGGGCCAGAAGAGGACATCAGGAGCAGGAGTTACAGATGGTTGTGAGCTGTCTGACATGGGTGCTGCGAACTGAACTCTGGTCTTCTGCAAGAGCACCATGAACTCTTAACCACTCAGCCATGTCTAGCCTCAAGTTCAACATTTTATATTGTTAGGACTACCTAGGGTATCTATTTCTTCTCAGTGAGCTTTGATTATCTGTGCCTTTTGAGGAATTCTCTAAGGAGTTTTTGTCACCAAAACACCAGTTTTTGGCTTTGATTTTATCAGAACGTTGTTATAGTGTTGATTATTCTGATAACTGCAGCATCTGTGAGAATGTCACTTGACCTTGTCAGTGTTGGTCGCTTTGTCCTGCTCTCTTGTCATGGTCAATCTAACAGGAGGTTTATTAATTTTAATAAAGATCTTAAGGAACCTTTTATTAATAACTGGCTTCTGGCTCCAGTGGCTCCCTCTGCTTTGGTTTCTGGTTCTCTTACATTTGCTTTCCTCTGTTACTTTGGATTCAACTTCTCCTCCCTCTTCAGGTGGACCCTTCCTTCACTGCCTCGGCAATTTTTCTCCCTTGGTGCTGTGAAGTGACCTGAAGGTGACGTGTTCATCGCTCACAACTTTCCATACACTGTATTTTCATTTTCATTCAGGAAAAAGCAAACGTTCTGATCTTTTTAATATCTTCTCGAATATGTGAATTGTAAAGAAGTTCATTACATAGGGCCAGTAAAATGGCTCAGTGGGTGAGGATGCTTGCTGCCACGCCTGACTACCTGACTACTATCCGCTGGTCCCATGTTGTTGAGGGAGAGAACTGATTCCCACAAGTTGTTTTCTGACTTTCACGAGCCGTGGCATGCATGTGCACACACGAGTAATTAACTAATTAATTAATTCAAAAGAAGTATGTCTCATGGTTCCAAATATTTGGAAGTTTTCCAGAACTCTTTCTACTACTTATTTCATTTTAAAAAATAATATTTGTACTGGTTCTTTGAGAATTTCAAACACTACGTTTTGATCATATGCAAACTCTCTCCCCTAGCCTCACATACCCACCCCCACTCCCTGTCCCCCGACTTCATTCATATAGATATATTTTTAAGATTAGTCCAAATTTTTAGATTTTATTTATTTATTTTTATTTTCTGTGTTATGAGTATATTGCCTGCATGAATGTAAGTGCACACGTATTGTGCAATGCCCACAGAGGATAGAAGGGGGCATTGGATTCCTCGGAACTGGAGTTACGAACAGTTGTTACGGACCATGTAGGTACTGAGAATCAAAACTGGGTCCTCTGCAAGAGCAGCCAGTGCTCGTAACCCCTGAGCCATCTCTGCAACCCCCTATCAAGTCCAATTTGTGTTTCCCCAGAGCTCTTGGGTATGGGTCCGTCTCCTAGAGCCTGGTCAACCTACAACACACCCCTAAAGAAACCTAACTCTCCCTCTCAGCAGCTATCAATTGTGAATAGTTCCTCCACTAGAGCTGGGCTTCTTGCTACCCCCCCCCAACCCTCTATGCGGGAATTTTGTCTGGCTTGAGCTTGCACAGGTCTTGTGCATGCTGTCACAACCCCTGTGGATTTCACTCCTTCTAATTTAATTTTTTGGCACATCTTTCTGAGGGAATCTCTTCCCATTGACTTTGGTTGGTTTTGTTCTGATTGGGAAAGTCACTGTGGCATCTTATTCTTGAAGAACATCTATTCTGCCGTCTAGGCAGGGCATAAGTGTAAAGAGGTCCAGCTGCTGTGTAGGACTATACCTGGCTCAGTTTTCTAACACATCTTTGGTCACTTTGTTTTGTAAATTATGAATGCAGTGCTGTTGAAATGTCCAGCTACAATGGTGCTCTCACCTGTCTTTCATTTCTGTTTTTACTTCTTGTGTTTTGGGAAGACTTGTTATTAATTCATCAATTAAGGTAATTAGCATCCTTTTTTTACTAATTGTCTTTATTGTTACACAATCACTGTCACTAATCCTGGTAATATTTTGTGCTGTGGAATCTGCTCTGAGAGTAATGCCACTGATGGGTGTTAGAATAATATGCTTTTTTCCATTGTCTTATTGCAACCTATTTCTACCTTTATATTTAAAACAGGTGTTGGGGCTGGAAAGATAGCTCAGTGGTTAAGAGCATTTGCTGCTCCTGTAGCAAACCCAAGTTCAGTTCCCAGCACCTATGCAAGGCTGCTCACAACCACCTGCAACTCCTCTAGCTCCAAGGACCTGGCACCGACCTCTGGCTTTCTTGGGCACCATACACACATTAGCATTGACACACATGAACACACACCTCACATAAATTTTAAAAAGTAAAATAAAAAGATTTTAAAATCTTTTTTAAATATTTTATTTATTATTTTTATTTTATGTGTATGAGTGTATTGCCTGAATGTAGGTAAGTGCACCCATGTGGTGCAATGCCCGCTGAGGACAGAAGAGGCTGTCAGATCCGCTGGAACTGGAGTTACAAACAGTTGTTAGCTGCCATGTGGGTGCTGGGATTCGAACCTGGGTCTTCTGCAAGAACAGTCTGTTCTTAACTGCTGAGCCATCTCTCCAGCTCCATAGGTTTTTAAATCTTTAAAACAGGTTTCCTGTAAGCAGTGTACATTTGGGTCTCGTCTTTTTATCTGATCTGACCATCTCTGCCTCTTGAGTGGAGTACTTAGACCATTGCCATTTACTGTGGTTATGCTGTGGTTAGACTTACACATACCATCTTGCTATTTACCTCTGTTTATTACTTCTTTTACTCCTTCCTTTCCTCTTTTCTCTCTTCTTTGGTGTTAGTTGAACATATTTTAAAGACTTGGTTTTATCTACTTTGTGGCTTAAAAAGTTATAACTTGGGGCTGGAGAGTTGGCTCAGTGGTTAAGAGCACTGACTGATCTTGCAGAGGACCCGGGTTTGATTCTCAGCACCCACATGACAGCTAACAACTGTCTGTAACTCCAGTTCCAGGGGATCGGATAGCCTCTTCTGTGCTCCATGGGCATTGCATGACATGGGTGCACTTACCTACAAGCAGGCAATATACAAAAACACTTATACATCAGGGCCTTGGGCTTGCTAGGCACCACTGAGCTAAATCCCCAACCCTGGAAAAAAAGATTTGTATATAGAACATAAAAAAGTTATAACTTATTATTTTAATATTGCTTTAAGCTTTATAGTTTGCCTCTTTAACCCACCACGGTCTATAACTTCGAATCGGATCACACATCATCTGTTCCTGTGACTCTGCTTTTCACCTTAGCTAATTTGCTGTTGTTACCACGGATGGAACTATTATACATGTTACAAACTTATACTGCATGGTTATTTTTTATAATTTTTTAAAAATTTTATTTTTTATTTTATGTGTATGCGTGTATTGCCTGCATGTAGGTAAAAACCCTTGTCGTGCAATGCCCACAGAGGTCAGAAGAAGCTGTCAGATCCCCTAGGACTGGAGTTACGGACAGTTGTTAGCTGCCATGTGGGTGCTGGAATTCAAACCTGGGTCTTCTGCAAGAACAACCAGTGTTCTTAACCACTGAGCCATCTCTCCAGCCCGCGTGGTTACTATTCTGAGGACCAGTCGCATTTTAAAGAGGCTATCAGTGGAAAGTCCTGCGTGTGCCCCTGTATGGTGGGCAGGGCTGACACCCCTTCGCGACTCAGCTTGCCTGCCTGTCTCCTCCTGGTATGCCACCTGCTGGAAGCTCATCCTGTAACCAATCCCATGCTGTGGTTCTGCTGGAGCCCATGTTGCTCAGTGTCTGCTCTGCGTCTCTCGGTGAGATTCTGGGCTGTGCTTTGAGGACGCTGCTCTGTTGCTCTCTCGCTGTTGGCAATGCTTCCTCCAAAACTGTGCTGCCCTCATCCATGTTCCCCTGTATGTACTGTGTTCTCTTCTAGCTACTTTGAGGAGCTTTTCTTTCTTACTTACTTTGAGCAATTGAATCATAACACGCGGTAGTGATATTCTGCGTTTTATTGTGTTTGAGATTCTTGTAGCTGTGAGTGTATAGTTTTATCCAGTTTGGAAAATTGGCAGCCATTGTTTCTTCAGATGTCTTCTGCTCTCCTCCTCTAGAACCCGGGTGTACATATACATGTACGTTAAACTTCTGGACGCTGGGGCTGGAGAGATGGCTCAGTGGTTAAGAGCACTGACTGCCCTTGCAGAGGACCCAGGTTCAATTCCCAGCACGCACATGGTGGCTAACAACCATCTGTAACTCTAGTTCCAGGGGAATTGACATCCTCTTCTGGCCTCTGTGGTGCACTTACATACATGCAGGCAATACACTCACACACATAAAATAAAATTAATAAATATTTTATAAACTTCTGGAAGCTTCCTCACACCTCAGTGAAGGAGTGTGCTGATTAATTTATTGTCAACTTGACACAACCTGGAGTCACCTGGAAGAGGGACCCTTCGGTGAAGGTTCCATCAGATTAGCCTCTGAGCATGTCTGTGAGAGATTGTCTTGATTGATGATTGATGTGGGAGGACCCAGCCCACTGTGGGCGGCACCACCCCTAGGCTGCTGGGCCTGGGCTGTACAGGAAAGCTGGCTGAGCTTGAGCCTGGGAACAAGCCAGTGAGCAACATTCCTCCATGGTTTCTGCTTCTGTTCCTGCCCTGGCGTCCTTCAGCGATGTACTGTGGCCCAGAAGGGTCAGCCAAATAAACGGTTCCCTCCCAAGTTGCTTGTGGTCAGGCTGTTTTGTCACAGCAACAGAAAGTGACAACAGGAGTTTCTGTCTCTTCAAAATTTTCTGTTGCTTTTGACCTAGCTGACCTCCTGCCGTGTCTGCCACGCCCTTTGTCTTAGACCCAGTTTTCACCTGTGCTACTTTGATTTGGGGTTTAGTTTTTGGTGCTGGGATAGAACCCAGGACCTTGTTATACTCAGCAGCTCTCCCTCTCAGCTGCCCCCCAGCCACATGATTTTTTATATTATTTGTGTCTATTGAGATTTTAATCTTTACTCTAGCTTTGAAAATATGTGGAAATTTTGTT